AGTGGGGTGCTGGCGCATCATGGCCCGAGGCACGCACTCGCGCTCGGAGCACGGGGGCCATGGAGTAGATCGAAAGAAGAAGAAGAAGAAGATAAACAATAATACTAATTCAAAAACAGAAAGAAAGAAAGAAAGAACGAAAGAAATAAAGAAATAAAGATAATAATAATACAAAGAATAATAATAATACAAAGAAGAATAATAAGAATAATACAAAGAAGAATAATAAAAAGGGGCCATGAAACCTGGGAGAGTTCTTGGCCCCAGCCATGGTCTCCATGTACCCCTACATGTGAGCATGTGCGACAGAAAATCTTGTTACAAGAAATCTAGGGGCATCTCCTCCATCGACTCCGAGCTTCGCAGGCTGCTCCAAGGCTCTGCGGGACCCCCCCGGGCGATCAGAACTTCGTGTGGGGCACCCGCCGAAGCCCCGCTTTCCTGGTTTGGTGCGCCTGCTGGAACCCTTGCCCCGCTCTATGGGACGCCCCCGAAAAGGAGGGAGGAGGAGGAGGAGGAGGAGGAGGAGGAGGAGGAGGAGGAGGAGGAAGCAGAGGAGGAAGGAGGAGAGGAGGAGGAGGAGAGAAGGAGGAGGAGGAAGGAGGAGGAGGAGGAAGAGGAGGAGGAGTGATGGGAGGGAGCGGAGGGAGGGAGGGAGGGAGGGAGGGAGGGAGGGAGGGAGGGAGGGAGGGGAGGAGGAGGGAGGAGGGAGGAGGAGGAAGGAGGAGGAGGTGGAGGAGGAGAGAGGAGGAGGAGAGTAGGTAGAAGGAGGAGGAGGAGGAGGAGGAGGAGGAGGAGGAGGAGGAGGAGGAGGAGGAGGAGGAAGAGGAGGCGTCGCGCTCCTCCGACAATGGGGGGTGCGAAGAAGGGCGGCCCGGCCTCCCCGAGCTGCGGGACGGCGCACGCGCCCTCCCCGGGCACCACCTCGCCCACGGCGCCCACAGGCACCATGATCTCGTAGGCCGCCTGCGAGAGGGCAGCGAGGAGACGAGCGCCCTCTCCGAGAACCAAGAAGCCACAGTAGTCGACATGCATGGCACGCTGGTCACCAAAGAAGCGGCAGAAACAAGGAGAGAGAGAGAGAGAAGAGAGAGAGAGAGAGAGAGAAGACGAGCGCCCTTTTCCTCCCCCGACTCGTCGCCCTCCTCCTCGCCTCGCCTAGCTGCAGCCATGCCCGGAGCTTCTGGCTTCGGCCGAAGCGCTATCCGAATCCCTAGCCGGGTCGATGCGCTCCCACCGCGTCTATCCCCCCTAACGCTGCCCCCATGGCTTTCGGGTCATCACTCCGCTCCCTGGCGGCCGATCGGGGCAGTTCGGGCACCCCTGGTGCGCGGTCGGCGAGGCGCGGCTGCTGGAAAGCACCCCGGGGCTGGAAGATCGCTGAGACGGGAAACGTCCGACGGCCTCGAACCTCGAAGCGTTTCGTGCCCCCCGAAGCTTTTCCCCCCCCCCCGAACGTTCCTCTGAGAAGGGGGGTCCTCCTCCGGACGGGCAGTCGCTCGCGTGGAAAGGTCGGACGCGACGATAGGGGCGCATAGCCCAGGGTGGAGCAAAACATGTATCCAAAGGGCGCCGATGGTCCAAGTCTTCAGCGAGGCTTCCGCAAGGATACGTGTACCGTCCGCCCCTGGGCTACTCGCCCCTATAACTGGGCGCCTCCGAAAGGGGCGGAGCTCCGGCCTCTGGCGCGCAGGCCACTGGCGGCGCCGCTGGCGCCATGGCGAACTGGTGCGCCTGCTGGTGCGGCACCTGGGCATAGAACAGCACCTGCGCGGACCCGCCGCAGTCGCCGGTGCCCGGCGCGAAAGCCGGGACGACCTGCGCGTCGCCGAAGCACACCTGTGCAGGGCATCGACAGAGAAACTCGATACTCGATGGTCCTCAAGACGCGTGTCAGCGCCGACGTGTGCTTGTCCACCGAGGCCCTGCGATACGACGCAGGTGACGCAAGGAGGGCCGGCCCAGGCTGCGTGACGTCGGCAGAGCTGAGAAGGGCAGACACCCACTCGGGCAAGACACGTGCTGAGCTCAGGACCATCGAGAAACATAGTCCTGGTGGGAGCGGGCCCCAGTACTTGAGGCCTTTACCAGGGGCCAGCTTCTCGTCCTGGAGCCGTTTTGTGGCGGCCCCCCCGCAGACCCGACGACCTGAGATGCTCAGTACAGGGCCCTGGAAGTCCAGACCCTCTCTCCTAGGGCTGGCTTTCCATCCTGAGTCATTTCTGTTCTACAAGACCCCATACCCTGACATCCGCCGTTCTGTTCAATCTGCGGCCCCAGAGGTCCCGACCGGTTCACCGGAGGTAGCTTCTCCCTCCCAAACCTGTATTTGATGATCCCGAAGTCCGAAGACGGCCCTCGAGGGCCGAAATCGAGAATGAAAAGCCACGGTGGACAAAACGGAGAGACACGATCCGCCATTCTGATTGTGTCCTATCCGCGGCCCCAGGTCCCGACCGGTTCACCAAAGGTAGTTTCTCCCGCCCAAACCTATGTTTGATGGCCCTGGAGGCCGAGACGACGGCCCTCGAGGGCCAGAATCGAAAAGAAAAAGCCACGGTGGATTCAACCCGAGGGAGACACGGGTGCAGGACCCCGCTTTGCCCTGACGGCGAGCCTGCGCGCTCCACGGTGGCCCGAGTCCCACCATGCCGCCGCCCGGGTCCTCGGGGCCGCCGGCCTGCGCCTGCCACGCCCCGGGGCCCTGGTCGGTGGGAGGCGGCGCCGCGCCGACGTCCGCGCCCGAGAAGGAGCCGAAGACCACGGCGTCGGCGCCGTCCTCGTCCTGCCGGAGGCCACGACGGCGCCGCCGAGGGCGGCGGGCGGGCGCGGGGACGGCGGCGGCTACGACGGACGGACGGACGGCGGCGGCGGGGCCGCGCCGAGCCCGTCCTGTGCGGGGATCGCCTTGTCGGAGCCGACCGCGGAGCCCGCCTCGTCGCTGTCCGTCGCCGGGGACTGCGTGGCCTGGGTGGTGGGCGTGGCGGCGCCGGTCGGGCCGCAAGCCTGGCGGCCCCATTCCTGCAGCGGCGCGCCCTGCGAGCTGTCGCAGGGCATGCACACGAGCACGTCCTTGGGCGGCCACTTACGCGAGCCCTACCATTGAAGGTCAGACTTCTGAGACGCCGGTCGGGGGGGGGGTCAGAATTCGAAGGACTCCTGCAACCAGGTCAACCCCAACGGGGGGTCCGATATCCCAGCATCGGTTGGACACGTACGGGTGGGGTTCGCGAATGGTCGCAGAGTCCTGCGAGCCGTCGCAGGGCCCGCACGACATCGCCTGCATGCTGGCGTGCAGCGCGTTGAGTAGCTTGAAAGGCGGGGTCAGGAACTCCTGCTGCAGGTGGGCGCCGAGCTTATCCTGCGCCGCCCGTGCGCGGGGGGCCCTGGCACTGGACGAGAATCGCCATCGAGAGTTGCCATCGAGGACGGGAGCAGGAAGGGTAGGGCGACGTCAACTTACCGCCTCGCCGATCCCTGCCGGGCCCATCCTGGGCCCAGGATCGATGCAGAAAAGCCAGAAGAGCTGTCGGGCGGCCCATTCGTGACGGTGCGCGCGTCGCACATGTTGAGAAGAAGAAGTGTCGAAGCTGCGGCCCGGCTATACAATGCGAGCTGAAGCTGATCATCTGCACCTCAACAGCGGGATGGGCCAAGCAGCTCTTTCCTACAGGAGTCTGGGCAGCCATGAGCCTCTGAGGCCAATGTTAAAGCTGGGCGTGGAAGCGGCACAGAAATACCGACTTTGTCATGGCATGATTGTGGACGGCCAACCGCCACCCTTGAAGTGCGATTCAAATCAGTTTCGCGTATCTGGTACAGCTGCGCTCTGGAGCTTGAAGCCCTGCATTGTATTGCAAAGATGTGCCTGAACTCTGTTTATGTTAGTTCTTTCATCTGTTCGTGTCGTCCGTGATCCCCTCCCCCACCCCTCGTGGGCACCCTCTCGCCTCTGGCCCCCCCCCCTCCCTGGCCTCTCCTGGCCCTGGCCCTGGCCCTGGTCCTGGCCTTCTGGCCCAAGCCCGAAGAGTCCTAACAGCGCGCGAGGCGGTCTCAAGATGGCGCCTAAGGGTCCCTCCACCGCCCCTAAGAGCCCTGCGTTCGCGTCGCCCCTTAGCTGCCCCGTCGCCCCCCTGAGCCCCCCAGAGCATCCGCACCTGGCCCCCCTATCACCCCCAGCTTGTGGGGCGGCCGGCGCGAGGGGGCGGCCAGCTGCATCCAGAGGCGGGTTCTGGTGGCGAGCTCCTGGCGGACCCGCTGGGAGACCTGAGGACTCATCCGAGGGGCGCAGTTTTGCGCCTCAGTCTCGACATTCACCGCGGGCTTCAATTGAAGCTGCCCCTCTCCTCCTCCCTTCTCCTCCCTCCTCCCATCACCTCCCCTCCGCCCCCCCCTCTCCCCCCTCCTTACCCCCTCCCCTCCCATCCTCTCCTTCCACCTCCTCCTCCTCCCCATCCTCCCTCCTCCCTCCTCCTCCCTCCCTACCCTCCTCCTCCCTCCTCTTCCTCCCTCCTCCTATCTCCTCCTCTCTCCTCCTCTCTCCTCCTCCCTCCCTCCTCCTCCTATCTTCCTGCTCTCCTCCTCCTTCCTCCTCCTCCTCCCCTCCGCCTCCTTCCTCCTCATCCTCCTCCTCCTCCTCCTCCTCCTCCTCCTCCTCCTCCTCCTCCTCCTCCTCCTCCTCCTCCTCCTCCTCCTCCTACTCCTCCCCCTCAGAGGGCACATCCCTGAGCACATGTTTTTGGGGGGGATCTCAAGAGGCCCGCGGGATCCCAAGGCATCGGGCGGTGCAGTGCCAGGCCACGCACGGGGCGACGAGGCAGTGGCTGCGGCGGCACCCACCCGTGCATTCCCCCGGCAGGGTCCACGCTGACAACAAAAACGACAACGAACGATCATCGGGCCGCAGCTACATGGCCGAGGGAGCAGGGAGCGGGGGGGAGGAGGGACGAGGAGGGGCGCGGAAAGCGAACGGGCGACGAAGCAGTGGCTGCGGCGGCACCCACCTGTGGATTCCTCTGCGGGGTCAACGCCGGCAATAAGACGACAACGAACTGGCATCGGGCCGCAGCTACATGGCCGAGGGAGCAGGGAGCGGGGGGCAGGAGGAACGAGGTAAGCGAAGAGAAGTAAGCTCAACGATCAAAACAGCGGACGTAAAAAGCAACACCTGGTCGCAACATTGCCGGGTGGACGCCGGCGTGTCGCACGCTGCAGGGAGGAGGCCTGCGTGACACACCGTTCAAGAACTGAGGAGGGGAAGGAGGAAAAACGGTAGGACAGAAACGCCCGAGCAAGTTCTGTAACGAGGCTCGCGCGTGCCTAGACCGCGCACTGAAGCCCACGCGAGCAATTGCGACTGGAAAAAAACGGAGGGCAGAGAGGGAGCAGAAGAAAGTATCTCATATTTGCAGGGTGTGCGCAACAAAAACGGGCCGGGTCCTACCATGTAGGTTCGACCGCCGCTGAAAGCGCATACCTGTGACGGGTGGGCTCAAAAAAACTACAAAAAAAAATTGAGTAGGAGCTCCGGGGCAGGCGAAGAGCGCCGGCCACCCATGGAGCTAAACGACTGGCCCCAGATCGCATGCACGAGCAGGAAACGCAGGACAAAGCGGAGAGAGCAAGGAGAGGAGGGTGAGGGTACGCGTCAGCCAGGAAGCCCTCCTATCATGTCCGGGACGGTCGCCGGAGCCACGGTGCTGCGATCCAGAGGGTGGCGCACGCTTCTGGCCATGTGACGGTAGACGTCACCACATCGGCGTCGGAGATGGACTCGAAGACGAAACTGAAGCAAGGTCGGAGACGACGCGATGCTCATTTCTTATGTGGAGGAGGGAATACGCCTTAGCAAAGCCCAGGTCGGGCCGTCATTCACTACCATCGGTGCTCTGCCAGGTCGGTGAGTTGCTCCGTGCGAGAGACGGTGCACTGGTCGAGGCTGGAGTCGGTGATCTGGTCGGCGCTGGAGTCAGTGGCTGATCGGCGCGGGGGTCGGTAAGCTGGCGGGCGCGGGAGTCGGTGAGCCGATCGGCGCGGGAATCGGCTGGCCGGTCGGGAGTCGGCGAGCTGATTCTCCCTGAGCACATGCTGCCGATTTTGTTTTTAGGGCTCGCGCGACCAACCCTGCTCGAATCCACAAAGCGGCAGCAGCAGCGATGCGAATCGAAAGGTCGCCAAGCGAAGCTGGAGAACTACATAGCGCTACTGGGGAACCCCGCATATCTATTTTACGTCTTCCATGACCCACTACTACTACTACTACTACTACTACTACTACTACTACTACTACTACTACTACTACTACTACTACTACTACTACTAAGACTACTACTACTACTACTACTACTACTGCTGCTGCTGCTGCTGCTGCTGCTACTACTACTACTACTACTACTACTACTACTACTACTACTGCTACTACTACATCTACTACTACTCTACTACTACTACTACTACTACTACGACATAAGACTACTACTACGACTACTACTACTGCTACCACTACTACTACTACACTACTAACTAAACTACTACTACTAACTAACTACTACTACTAACTACTAACTACTACTACTACTACTACTACTACTACTACTACTACTCATGATAATAATAATACTACTACTACTACTACTACTACTACTACTACTACTACTACTACTGATACTACGAAAACTATTACTACACTACTAGTACTACTACTACTACTACTACGACGACGACGACGGCGACGACGACGGTTACTGCGACCACCACCCACTGCTGCTACTACAACCACTACCACTACTACTACTATCACTACTACTACTACTACTACTACTACTACTACTACTACTACTACTACTGCTACTACTACGACTACTACTACTACTACTACTAACTGAACTAAACTAAACTAAACTAACTAAATAACTACTACTAAATCTACGAACTAACTACTAGCGAACTAGCGTAAATTACTAAAACAACTAACACTGAATTACTCGTAAATACTAACTAAACTAACACTAATAAATAATAACGAACCTATCAGAACCGAAAACTACTAAACTACTAGCTACTCGCTACTAACGAAAACACGCCCGAACGAACAGACGACGAACGACGACGACTCCTAACTACTACTACTAAACTACTAACTACTAAAAAACTCAAGACTAAAAACCAACAAAACTACTTAAAACCAAAAACTACGACCTAAGTACTACGACTACTTTCTCAACTAACTAAACCGCTGAACTACCAAACTGCCAACTACCACTAAAACTAAAGTAAAAAAACTAAACTAAACTAACTACCACTACTACTACTACTACTACTACTACTACTACTACTACTACTACTACTACTTACTACTACTACTACTACTACCTAATGCTGCTACTACTACTACTACTACTACTACTACTACTACTACTACTACTACTACTACTACTACTACTACTACTACCACAACCACCACAACTACTACTACTACTACTACTACTACTACTACTACTACTACTACTACTACTACTACTACTACTACTACTACTACTACTACTACTACTACTACTAATACTAGTACTACTACTACTACTACTACTACTACTACTACTACTACTACTACTACTACTACTACTACTACTACTACTACTACTACTACTACTACTACGACTACTACTACTACTACTACTACAAAACTACTACTACGACTACGACTACGACTACTACTCTACTATTACTACGTCCTACAACTACTACTACTACACTACTACTACTACTACTACACACATACTACAACTACAACTACTATTACAACTACTACAAATACAACTAACTACTACGTACTACTACTACTACTACCTACTACTACGACTACTAACTACTACTACTACTAGTACTACAACGACTACTACTACTACTACAACTACAAACCACAACACTACAACATTACTACAACTACAACTACTAAACTACTAAATACAACACTACTACTACTACTACTACGACTGCTACGACTGCTACGACTACGACTACAACTACTACTACTACTACTACTACTACTACTACTACTACTACTACTACTACTACTACTACTACTACTACTACTACTACTACTACTACTACTACTACTACTACTACAAAACTACTACTACTACTACTACTACTACTACTACTACTACTACTACTACTACTACTACTACGACTAACTAGTACTACTTCTGATACAACTAATACTACTACAACTAATACTACGTCTACTACTAGTACTACTACTACTACTACTACTACTACTACTACTTCTTCTACTTCTACTTCTAGTTCTACTACTACTACTGCTGCTGCTACTACTACTACTACGACGACGACGACGACGACGACTACTACTTCTACTACTACTACTACTACTACTACTACTACTACGATTACCCTGTAACACCCCTCAGGGGAGTAGAACTATTTGTTGGGGCGTGACTCTGTGGCCCTGTAGGCTTGCCGCCTCCAGTCACCAAGGCGTGCACATTCTGTATGGTGGCTGCGTCGTTTCATTGCTCCCCGTTCACGTCGCACGTGTCTCACGAATCCATATTTATCTTTGTCTCCACTCCAGTGTGTAAGGTGGGTTCGAATTCCTAGTTATGTATGATGTCGTGGTTATTGTCTAAGGTCGTCCTATGTCGGCTACCGCCGGACGTCTGAACCTTTGGATACCCACAGGGATTTCTTGGGTAACCCAAACCCCTTCCGGGGGCGTCCTAAACATTTTGTGACTGTGTGAGTCGTTCCTGGGATCCTCCTAGAGCGCCTTGGGGCCTCGTGAAATGTCCTCGAGACTCCTGGAGCGCTCTGGGGCGTCCGGGGGACCCCTGGGGCCTCGCGCGGCCTCGCGGGGCAGCCTGGAACCTCCCAGAGCATCCCGGGGCCTCCACGGGTTATCCATGGCCTCCTGGGGCGACCAGCAATCCCCTGGAGCTTCCCGGGGCCTCCTGAGGCCTTCTGAAGCCTTTTGGCGTCCTCCTCCCCCTTCTCCCCCTCCTCCTCCTACTCCTCCGAGCGCCGCGCGGGCCCCTTTGCCGCCTGCGCACTTTGAGCGGGGGCCGGCGCAACCCCCCCAACTCAGCTGCGACCCGCCGCCCAGCGGCGAGCCACCCCCAAGAAGGAAGGGGCGCGCCGGCCAGGGCCTATACCTCGCATGCATGGGACCAGGTCAGCGATGTCCCGGATGGCGAGGCAGGCCGTGACGGCCGGTTGCCCGCCTGCGCCCCCCCAGCGCCCAGCGTCGGCTGCGCCTCCGGGCGTCTTCTGCAACCGCTCACGCCTTTCGCTGCTGGCGCGCCCCCCGCGGCAGGCCCAGCGGCGCCCGCGCCGGCGCCGCGCCGCCCCGCCCCGCCGCCAGCCGCGCCGGCACAGATCACCGCAGCCCGCAAGCGCAGCGCCGCGCTAGCCGGCGCTCCGGCGCCTTGCTCCAGCGGAGTCGCGCCGCGGGGGCGGCGCCCCGCGCCGTCGGCGGCCTCCGCCCAGCGGCCCGGCCGGGCGGCCCTGCGCGGCGCCAGCCCTCAGCGCCCGCAGGCAGGCGCAGTTCCCAGCCCTCCAGCCTCTCAAGGCGGCGGCGCCGCGGCCCTGGGCCGCGCCGGCTCAAGCCCAGCGGCGGCCCGCCACGGCCGCGCCTGCGCGGCCGCGAGGGCCGCGTCCGCGGCGCGCCGCTGCAGCACGCTGCCGACGCTCTGCTGCAGTTGCCGGATGGCCGCGGAGCGTGCCGCGCAACTCGCGGGGGCGAGCTGGCGCACTAGGACGGCCGCGCCCTCGCCGAGTCTCCCATGGTCCTCCACGACGAATGGAATCATCGGCACGCCTGGGTAGCGGGCTCGCTTCCTGCGTTCTGCGGCAGCGGCGGCGGCCGCGCCCCGCCTCGCGGCGCCGTTCGCCAGGCTGCAGCTGGATGGCGTTCACCAACTCAGTCTGGCCTAGGCAGGCGTCCGCCTTCGCTGCCAGCGAGCCCGCGCCCCAGGGCTCGCCTGAGGGCGGGGTTGATGACGCGGGCCAGCGTCGTTGCGCATTCGGCGCGGCCCGCGCCCGACTCATGTCCAATCGCGCCTGACTTGAGCAGGGACTGGTCGGCGTAAATACCGCCCCCTGACACGAGCAGGCGCCCGCTGGTGGCGCATTCGAGGGCGAACCTATTCCACCTCTCGTGCTCCGCGATGTGCTCCTATTGGTTGTCGAGGACGGCGAGCGAGTGCATCGTCGCTGCCCACTGAGAACAGTGGACGCGCGATCGGGGTCGCGGCACCGGGAAGCTCGGCCCCGCCCGCGTCGAACGCGGGCTGGGTCGCCACCGCCGCCCTGGCCATCATGGCGCAGCTGCTGTCTCCGGCCACGAGGAGGCAAGTACGCGCCGCGCATTCCGAGGCCGCGACCGAGAGCAGTTCTTGCGCGAGCAACGGCTTGGCGGGCAGGAGCGGGCCCATTCCGGCGATTAATATTGGGGCCGGAGTGGCGCGCGCCGCGTTGGCGCGGGTCGGCCCGAAAGGGCCCGGGTTCCCGCGATTGCCCCCGCTGGCCGGCAGCGCGGTTCACCACCCCCTTGAAGCCCCCCCCCTTCCACGGAGCGCTTGGCCGACGTCGCAGCCGTCGAGGTGGCGCATATCAGGCGCGATCCCCCCCTCGCAGCTTCGTCGATTAGATCGCAATCCCGTCTCGAGACTGCCGCCCCCGCGGCTGCGCAGGCGACCCTGGGGGAGTCCTCGTCGGATGGGGCGGTCTCCATTTTTGCGCGGTAGAGAGCCCTGGCTTCGTTGGCCACCCTGCGCGGGTCGGGTTGTCTCTGGCGCAAGGCAACGCAGCAGCCAAGCTGGGCGCTGCGTTCGAGCTTCTCGAACAGCCCGGTAGCCGACATGCTCTCGAGAATCACGGCGCCGTGGATCTGCCATCGGGGTTCGACCAGGTTGAAGGGGCATCTTGCGCCGGAAAGGCTGCTGGGACAACGCGTGGATGCACTCCACAACCTTCTCCAGATGGACCGCGATGACAGCTGGCACTGCAATCGCGGAAAGATCGTCGCCGCTGTCGCGCTGTTTTTTGTAATCGTTGAAAGCGGCTCGGACTTTGCGCGGCGAGTTGATGACCGGCTCAACAATCTCAAAGGGCGGCTCTAACTGGGCGACCAAGAGCCGCGGCGAGGCGGCAAACGCGCGGTTCACGATGGCGCCCACGGGGCGCGACTAGGAGACACTCAGGGATATCATCTCCGTGAACAGATCGACTGGCTCGGTCGGCGCCCCAGACGTCAGCGCCAGCTTCAAATTGGCGCGGTAGCGATCGGCCACGTCCTGGTCGGTCGCCGCCACTTACAGACCGCGGCTGGTGCCAGCGATCGCAGGAGTGCTGATCACACCGAAGTTGCAGAGCTCGTGGAGGGCGGCGTCCGATCTGCCCGCTCGATGAAAAAGGACGTACGTGAAGCTCTGCCGGGCGCAGGGGCCCACGTCCACTTCTGCCTTCGGTACGTATGAAAGCCATGCTGCGCTTTACCTGCGCCGACGGGCACCTGTCCAAGTACTCCTGCAAGCCGGGACTTGGGCCCCCGACCAATCCCAGCCTGCGCGCCTCGTCGCGCGTTGCGGTCGAGCGGGCGGCTGGGAACTCGGCGGCCACCTTGTTTTCCCACGGCGTTGGTAGCACGGCGAAAAGTAGCTGGCGGAGGGTGGCTCCGTTGATGGTCAAGGTAGCCGTTGACCCCGGGTAGATCATGTGGCTGAAGATGATCTCGCGGTGCTGCTGAGCTGTCATGCGCAGCTTCTCCACCGCCGCGGCAAGCTTGCCAGGGCTAGGGTCTGTGACAGCCGTCACCGAGTACTGCGCAACGAGGGACACGGCCCCGGGCTCACCCCTGAGGGCGGCTTGCACCACGTGCAGATCCAACGCGGCGGCGGACATGGCGGTCGCGTCGTGGTCCAGGCCTTCTCGAACGGGCCGAGGACGATCTGGCCGCGCTTGGCCTTGGCTTTGGAGTGCACACGTGAGCGGTTCGCGCAGTGCGCGAGCCTGGCCGGAGGATCTGACTCGCTGCCCACGACTGAAACCGCGGAGTCGCAGATGGCCTCCTCGACGGCGGCTTTGTAGTTTTGGGGGCGCTGCGGTCCTTGAGCGCAAGTGCGGGTGACCCCGTCGGTGGTCGCAGGCTGCAGCTGAGAGGCCGGGGCGTGGAGGTCTGCCGGCGCCATGAACCCAGTGAGGGCGCTGTGGGAGGCATCGCTGCGGTAGGCAGAGCTGCCACGTGCAATGTCTGCTGCCTGCTCTGATGCCTGTGGGACCGCTGGCTGCATTCCAAGCCCTGGACGCGGACCGGGCTCCGGCGCGCGACCAGCGGCGGCCGTCGGCGGAGGCACCCGGCAAAAAAAGTTGTCGGGCGTCGGGGCGTGCGCCGTGGGAGCGTCGAAGGCCAGAGGCGCGGCGCGGCGCATCGCTGGGTCGAAGAATCTGACGTTGTGGTCGGCGGCGACGTCAAGCTGCATGACGCGCCTGCGTTAATTGTCCTCCTCCTCCTCCTCCTCCTCCTCCTCCTCCTCCTCCTCCTCTTCCTGCTCCTCTTCCTCCTCCTCCTGCTCCTCCTCCTCCTCCTCCTCCTCCTCTTCCTCCTCCTCTTCCTGCTCCTCTTCCCTTTCCCTACCTCCCCTCATCCTCCCCCTCCGCTGTCCCGCTGGACCCCGGGAGGGTGAGTTTTCTGGTTTTCGCTGATGAAAAACCCCCCTCTGGCGGTGACGGAAGGCAGGCGGCGGGTTTGGCAGGTTGGCGGGGCGGTTGGTAATTAGGGCACGGAAGGCGGGCGGCGGGGATGGTTGGCGGGGGGATGGGGTGGGCGGTTGGGCTAGTTGACTGACAGGTTGGCTGGGTAGCGGGGTGGCTGGTTGGGCTGACTGGCTGGCAGATTGAGCTGATTAGAGCAAGTGGTTCTCCCCCTGCTCCTCGTCCTCCTCCTCCTCCTCGTCCTCCTCCTCCTCCTCCTTCTCCTCCTCCTCCTCCTTTTCCTTCTCCACCTCCTGCTCCTCGTCACTATTGCTTTCCTTCGGCGCGATGGGCCGTAGGACGAGTTGGGACGTCGTATCACTTTTCCCGGCCTGTTGGGACCTCCCTGGGCTCAAGGGGGCCTCCTGGGGCCTCCTGGTGTTTTCTGCGTCCTCCTGGGACTTCGTAGGGCCCTCTCCCCCTCCCTACCTCCGGCGCGATGGACCATGGGACCTCACAGGGGGGTCGCACCCAGGGAGAAGGCAAAGGGGCCAGCCTTTACAGAGGGCCGCGGCGAGCCAGGCACATTGGCGGCGATCAGCAGTCGACCGGTCCTCGCAAATGGGAGCCTTGTACTTGTATTCGTCCCTCGCCGTGGGGCGCGGGCGCTGCTGGGACCTCGCGGGGCCGTGCGGCGAACGCCGAAGCTACCCGCCGGCGGCGAGTGCCCCATCTCCCTTTCCCCTTCCACCGCCATCATCATCATCATCATCATCATCATCATCATCATCATCATCATCATCATCATCATCATCATCATCATCATCATCATCATCATCATCATCATCATCATCATCATCATCATCATCATCATCATAATCATCATCATCATCATCATCATCATCATTCATCAGCACAGCAGCAGCATCATCTCATCATCATCATCATCATCATCATCATCATCATCATCATCATCATAATCATCATCATCATCATCATCATCATCATCATCATCATCATCATCATCATCATCGTCATCATCATCATCATCATCATCATTACCATCATCATAATCATCATCATCACCAACAGCATCATCGTCATCATCATCATCATCACCAACAGCATCATCATCACCATCATCACCATCGTCATCAGCAGTATCACCATCATTATCGTTATCACTATCATCGGAATCATCATTATCACCGTTATCATCCTCATACTCATTAGAAGCATCATGATCATCAGAAGCATCCGTATCATCCTAGCTCACCACCGTCAGCAGCCTCCTAACACATCCAAATCACAATAGAGACCATCATCACCATCACCAGCATCAACAACAGCAGAATCGACATCAACACAATCATCACCAGCAGCACAATCAGCGTTCTGTCTATCTTACGTAATGCTAGGCAAACGTGGATTGGTATTAATAGGTTGTTACGGCTTTTTCTTCTAATAGCTCACGAGAAGCGAACCTCCCACTACGAACTGGTGAGTACATGGCTGGGTAACTCCGTTAAGCTGAATCCCACCAGCCCTTTGGGCGTGAGTGGCTTAGGGAGCTCTCTCTGTCCTCAACCCCCCTTCTTCCCCTTCGGGGAGGGGTTTACCCCTCCCCCTACCCCCTCCCCCTGGGCCTGGAGAGGGGGTCCGGCGGGTCGTCAGGGGGGTCAATTTCGACTCCTGGGAGGGCTAAAAAACGACACCCCTCACGAGGATTCTGCCCCCGACGGGGGGACCGAGAAAAAACCCTCTCCTCTTCTTTGAAGCAAAAATCCTTGATTTTACTATAGTTTCGGCCCCGTTTGGCCTTCTGAGGGGGCAGCGCTCCTCTTCCTTGATAGCAAAATCATTGATTTTACAAAGGTTTTGGGCTCATTTTGTGCTTCTCGGGGGGTAGCGCTCATTTGCGCTTCTGAGGAGGTCGCAAGAGGCCCCAAGATGGCCCCCAGGAGGCTCCCAAGAGGCCTCCAAGAGGCCCCCAAGAGGCCCCCAAGAGGCCCCAAGAGGTCCCCAAGAGGCCCCCAAGAGGCCCCGAAGAGGCCCCAGGAGGCCCCAAGAGGCCCCCAAGAGGCCCCCAAGAGGCCCCCAAGAGGCCCCCAAGAGGCCCCAAGAGGCTCCAAGAGGCCCCCAAGAGGCCCCACGAGGAGCCCGAACGACTCACACCAGGACGAGGGGCCCGAACGACTCACACCACGACGAGCCCGAACGACTCACACCACAAGGAGGGGCCCGAACGACTCACACCAGGACGAGGCGCCCGAACGACTCACACCACGAGGAGCCCGAACGACTCACACCACGACGACGGCCCCGAACGACTCACACCACGGGGAGCCCGAACGAGTCACACCAGGAGGAGGGGCCCGAACGACTCACACCAGGACGAGGGGCCCGAACAACTCACACCACGAGAAGCCCGAACGACTCACACCAGGACGAAGAGCCCGAACGACTCACACCACGAAGAGCCCGAACGACTCACACCAGGAAGAAGGGCCCGAACGACTCACACCAGGACGAGAAACCCCAACGACTCAAACCACGAGGAGCGCTTTCTCTCCCTCCTCCTCCGCCTCGTCCTTCTCCCGCTCCCACCACAAGGAGGATGTACAAGGAGGCGGGAGGAAGGAGGAACAGGGGAGATATGCGGGGGCAGGCGGAAACACGCATGAAAAACACGACTGTCGGCATGCTTCGCAAGAGTTGCTGTTTTGAGATGGGCTGGTGGGGATACGCGAAGCGTGAAGAATTCTCATAAACAAAAATGTGGTGTGTCTGCGTGCGCGCGCGGCCTGCCCACCCGGCCGGCCAGCGCGCGCGTTCTTGCCTGAGTAACTATACGCAGCTGCGGAGACAGTCCCTCCGCATGATCCATGCCCCACCAACACTCTGCAAGGGAAAAGAGCGCAGGGCTGCAAGGATGGGCGACGGGAGCGTTGGTAACGACTCCCTCCGCGGCCACCCAGCGCGACATTGTCGCGCCAGGGCGGACGTCAGCACATTGGCTAACACCCCAAGAATAAGAGGCGGGACGCGCCGAACAGCCTTCAGCAAGTCCAGAGAGCGTCGGGCAGACTTCGCCCCTTCACCCAGGGCCGCCGTGGGCCCCCCTCCGCGCCAACCTCAAAAGTTTTTTACGGCGCAGGCGGCAAGGGAGTACTCCTGTCACCGCTCGGGCAAGTCGAAGGCCCCCCGACGCGCCCCACCCCGGAGACACGAGACCGCGACGCCCGAAACCGCCACGCCGGACACCGCGACGCTGCGTGGGACCGCAACGCCATGCCCCCACCCCCACGCCGGACGCCGCTTTGCCGGAACCGCGACGCCAGACCGCCGGGCAGGAGACCGCCTCGCCGGAACCGCGTCGCCGGACCTCCTCGCCGGACGCCTCGTCGCCGGTACCGCGGCGCCGGTCCGCGAGGCCGGATTCCGTGGCGCTGGGTCTGGCGTCGCCGTCTTCGGCGCCGTGGCCGTCGCAGGAGCGGCGCCGTCGTCTGCCTCCCCCTCCCCCCTCGCGCCTCTCTTCCGTCGTTGCGTTTTGTCTTCGGGCTACTCCCTGGGGACCTCGCGTGACCCTGTGCCAGATATGGCATGCATGGTGCTTCTGGTTCCCATCGGCAAGTGCGCCGTCGTGCCCCTTCGTTTGGCAATCGGAAAACCGCGCAGTTCTGCCATTGCTAAAGCGCGCGTTCCCAGGAGACCAGTAATGCGGTGTGTTTTGTGTCGCATGGGTTCATTTGCTATCGCGCCCCATGGCTTGGCAGCAGCAGAACCGCATGTTTTCGCGACTGCAGAATCGCACGTTCCCAGGAGGGCGGTCAAGTAGCGAAGAGGACATGGGCCAACATGTACTCTACATGTGGATGTTGCATGGCGTGCATTTGTCGCATTGGCAACTTGCTCTCGCGCCCCGTGGAACTGCAGCAGCAAAGCTGCATGCTCTCGCGATTGCAGAAGCGCGCGTTCCCAGGAGAGCGGTAGAGTAGCGAAGAAAGCACGGGCCAACATGTACTCTTACATGTGGATGTTGCATGGTGCGTACTTGTCGCATTGGCAATTTTGCTCTCGCACCCAATGGTTCGGCAGCGCCAGAAACGCGCGGCTCCCCGATTGCAGGAGCGCGCGCTCCGCGGAGGGCGGCAACGCGGCCAAGACAGAACGGGTGAACATTTACTCGACATGTCGATTTTCGCTGTGTTGATTTTGCCCCATGAGCTAGTTTGCCCTCTCGCGCCCCATCGCACGGCACTAGCAAAACCGCACGGCTTCGCGATCGCATAAACACATGCCCCCAGCAGGGCAGTAGCGCGGCGAAGAAACCCTGCATTGCATGTAGAACACGCAACGAGGACGCCCCCCTTCCCGCCCCGCCCGCGAGGCAGGCCACCCCCAGGTGCACTAGCGCGCCATTGTTCACCGGCGCGAAAAGGCGCCATCGGCCACGAAGTACCGCGAACCTCGGCACAGAAGGCGGGGCCCGCACGCAATCCGCGCAGGCCAGCGAAGGCCGGCAAAGATCGCGCTGGCCCCCAGTTGAGAAACCTGGAGAAAAATAAACTGGGCCGGCGGAGGCAGGCCCTCGCTGCTCCTGCTTCAAATGCAGCGCGGCCACGTTCGTCAAGAGATCCTCGAAGCGCTTGTCCTGGATGCACTTCTCGAGCAACTCCTCCTGGCGAGCAGTGCGCTGCTTAGACTCCAGAGCGGGCTTCTTGCGGGCGCCCATCGCGAGCTCCGCAAGCTCCCTGCTCGCGCAAGCCTGCTGGAGCTGCATGCCGCTGACGAACATGGAGGGCGCGCGTGCTTGTTCTCGACGGAGTCATCGGCGTGGAAGCGGCGGAACCGCTCGGCCATGTCGCTCGTCAAGAACACTCCTTTCATTGCCCCCTGGTGCAAATTCCAAGGGTCCGCGGGGAAGATTGGTTCCTTGCGAGCTCCGCGGCGGGGCTTCTAGCCGACGCGCGCGTCCTCAGACCAAACACTGCTGGCACCCGGTAGCAAGCCCAAGCTTCTGCACTCGATCTCAGAGGGCAGCGGCGAAGTGGAACAACAGCCGCCCACGTTAACGTCATCGAAATTCTGGAGCGCTGCCTGGTAGGAGGCTTTCTCGAAGTCGACGGGCAAGGTCTTGTCCGCCGCGCCGTCCAGCGCGACCTCCCAGACCTTCTCCCACATGCGTTTGTGCGTCTTGCCAGCCTTGTCAGGCAACAAAAAGGATTATCCCGGCAAAGCAACCTAACAGCGATGTGTAGAAGCATATCTGAAAGCATTCCCCTTAAGATTCAGATGAAAATCCAGTTGTCGAATTCTGCTGTTCTCGCAGTCGTAGTCGCATTCGCGATGACAGTCGCAGCGGCAACGGCAGTCGCAGTCACAGCCTCAGCCTCAGCCTGCCTCCTCCTCCTCCTCCTCCTCCTCTTTCTCCTGCTCCTCCTCCTCCTCCTCCTCCTCCTCCTCCTCCTCCTCCTCTTCCTCCTGCTCGTCCTCGTTCTCGTCCTCCTCGTCTTGCTCGTCCTCCTCCTCCTGGTGCTCTCTCCTCCTCCTCCTCCTCCTCCTCCTCCTCCTCCTCCTGGTGGTCCTCGTTCTCCTCCTCCTGGTGCTCTCCCCCCCCCTCCTCCTCCTCGTCCTCCTCCTCCTCCTCCTCCTCGTCCTCCTCCTCCTCTTCCCTC